GGGGGGGAGATCCCATCTCCAACCAGCTGGACCCTCCTGCCCAGATTCCAACCCCCATCAGAATCCCGGAGTCGAGAAAGCCAAAGCTACTTGCCTTGCTCAGCCGAGGACTGCCCGTTGCCAGTGGACGGAATCCGGAGTCCGAAGAAACCTTGCTAAGGAGCTGTACACGCTGCCTTTCTCCGTACCTTCTCTTAGCCTCTCTCTCTGCCTCCCTCCCTCCCTCCCTCCTTCCTTCTCCCTCTCTCTCTCTCTTGCTTTGCCTCCCTGGGTTTTTTTCCCCAACCAGCATCTCCACAGTCCGGGGAGTAAAATCTTAGATAATACAGGTATGGAGCTGGCCTGTATGTGTGAGAGAGAGAGAGTGTGCGATTTAATCTTATTCGTTTCACCTTTTCAGTGACCACCAAAAGACAGGACCGAGAGTTTATTGGGAGAGAGAGAGAGGCAGGCGAGGGCGGCTTGCTTTTGCATAGTCAATAACATCCCTTTTTATCAGCACAATCTACAATAGGGACAGCTTGGCAGGGGAAAGTGACGGCGGGTTGCGCGGGGGGGGGGGGGGGTCACGCTACCACCAGATCGCATATCGTATCTTCTGGTCCAGGATCCTCCTCTCCAACTGACTTCTAAGATTTTAGAAGTCGGACTGGAAAAGCATACAACTGCGCTCCCCTCCTTTATGGAACACTTTTGAAACCACACCGGCCTCTCTTTCCTTAAATCTAACTGCCCACCTCACCCTCCTCAGCTGCTGGAGAAACTTGGATACAAGTTGGAAGGATGGGAAAGATCGCAGGGCATAGATTGGAGAGTCACGGTATAAGCGAAGACCCCCGAGGCTGATGGGAAATGGTTCATTCGGAATGGGTTGCCCTCCCCGCACATGCAGTCTTAGGGGGCAGGAAAACTATGAGGGGGTGATTAGTTCAGATATTTGTGCGGCTTTCTGTTCCTCCAATAGCGGCACAAGCTTCTTCGTTTTCCCGCTGTAGAAACGACAGTAGTTTCACCTCTCTCTTCCTGTCCGCTAGATGGCACCACGATCTAGCGATTCCACTAACACGGGCGAAGGCCCTTTCTGTTCTCAGGATACCCTCTTTCAAACTCACATTCTCTCTCGCTCTCGCTCTCTCGCTCTCTCGCTCTCTCGCTCCCACTCTCTCCCTCTCTCGTGAACTTTCCTTTGCAAGCATTGATCCTCCCGGATAAATAGCTAAACGATCACTTACTTTTATTATGCATTAATCATTACCGCCTCTGTTTAAAAACATTCTTGGAAAACGAAAAATAGCGGGAACAGAGGAGGACAAGTTAGGTGTCTTTTTAAAAAATCTGTTAGAAATGGAGAAGGGGATCTCTCCAAGTGAAATAAGGTGTTGATTTCAGACTGGGCGAAATCCACTCCGTGCTAGTGAGGATAATGAAACATTTAAAAAGCAAGGGGGGAGGAGAGATTAATGCGAAGAAATGGAGCAGGCGAGGTGGGAGGGGAGAGAGGGGGACGTGTTGAACTGGAACATATGGAGCCATAAATGTATTTTTAAATACTTACATTCCTTATGGAATCTCCTTAGCCATCTACTTCCAGTCATTAAACAATGGAATCCAATCCAAGTGTTGTAATTCCTAATCAGGGTCTTTTTGAAAGAAAATAAAATCCCAGAGAGACACAGAGAAATCTAATTTAAAAAAAAAACTTTTCAGAATGAGCCAAAATAATTTCCTTTTAATTCCCCTTTCCCCTTATCGCAAGGCATCTCTTTCCCGCGCCCCCCTTCCTTTCTTTTAACGTGCGTGTGTGTCTGTGTGTGTGACCATAGACGACCCATACTAATCAGGTCTCAAAGTAAATAGCAGAGCAGGGCGATCTCAATGTAAATTGCGCTTGTCAGAAGAATCCCCCTCCCTCCCTCCCTCCCTCCCTCCCTCCCTCGCGCTCGCTCTCTCGCTCTCTCGCTCTCTCCCTCCCCCTCCCTTCCTCCTCCCTCCTTCCTTCCCATCTCAGTCAGTAGGTAGCAAAGAATAAAGGCGGAGGGGGGGGAGGAGACCTCAGCCAATGGAGGGAAGGAGGCTTGGCTAACCTTAGCCGCCCATTTTCTCTCCCCCCAATTCAGGGCTCTGACCAGTCAGTCGCCTTTGATTATCAGTTGCCAGCAGCCCCTCTCTTGGCTCCTTGACATGAGCTCCATATAAGGCAGCGATCTCCATAGAAACGTGTCAGTTTCAATAGTAGTGTCAAAGTTCACTATATACAGACATTCGCGCAGATCCCCCTTTCGGAAACATTGCTCTGCTAGTCTTCCCGTTTAAACGCATTCATTTTTTGGTTCTCTCTCTCTCCCTCTCCCTCTCTCTCCCTCTCTCTCCCTCTCTCCCTCTCTCTCCTTTCTTGCATATTCTATTAGTTGAGGGGTTTTTTTTCCTTCATCTCCTTCTTTCCTCCTCTCTTTTTCCACCCTTCTTTTCCCTGTGTCTTTCGCTTCCTTCCTTCATGAGGCTAGAGAGAGGGGAAACTTAAAAAAAAAAAAAAAGACCGCAAAGAAAAGAAAAAGAGCAAAGGGGGAAAAAGAGGGACTCCTTTTAAGATCTTCATATCGTCCATTTTTAACACTTTTTTATTTTAGGGGAGGGTTTTTGCTCCTGGCGGCTGAAGATTTTTTTCCCTCCGATTTTTTTTCCTTCAAAAAAATAAGAACGGTTTTCTCGGGCGATCTCCAGTGATTATTGTCACCGGCACGGCAGAAGAAAGAAGGCAAGGAGCGAGCGAGGAAGGCGCCGGGAGAAGCGGGTTTATTTATTCGACCTACTTTGGATCTCTCGCCTGTTCCTTTTTCCCTCCCCTCGGCGGGTGACATTCGCCTCTGCTTCGGCTTCTTCTTCGGCTTCGTCATCTCCTTCTCCATGGTGGTGCCGGGCTTGGGCGCTTGGCTGCGGATCCGTCTCCCGGGCAAAGTCGCCCCCGTCCGAGGGGCTCGGGGCTCGCCTTTGTATCTCTCCCGGCGCTGAGCAGGCAGGCGGGCGGGCGAGAGCGAGCGGCAGCAGTAGCAACGCAGCGGCAGCGGCAGCGGAGGCAACAGCAGCAGCAGCAGCAGCAGGAGCCCCGGCAAAGGAAGCGGCAGCGGCGGCGGCGGCGGCGGCGAGGGCGGCCGAGCAGCAGAGCGGCGGCTGGCGCCCCGAAGTGCCTCCCCTCGCCTGGCGCGCCCCCTCCTCCTCCCCCGGCCGGAGCCTCCGACGCGCCTCTCCTGCATGGCCGCCTGTGCCGCGCTGCCTCCGACCTGGCCGCCGGACAACCGCGCGCCCTGAGCGCCTCCTCGGCCGCTTCCCCGCCGGCCTCGCTCCACTCCCAGCGGCAGCCTCCGACGCGCGGCACCCCCGGCCGG